GCATATTTATTCAAAAGTAGCTAACATATAAACTGCCTCTTCAGCGACTAAAAATCATTTGAAAGTCATCACTAAAAAGTTTTAGCAACCATTTTATATTTTCCAAGGTTTAAAAAAACGCTAGGCGATAGTTGGGCGGTGGGTTGGAGCCTAGTGCCTAGGCGGCTAGGCGGAGTATAGGCGGCGCCTAGACGGACTAGGCAGATTTAAGTAAATATATTGTATTTCTTGTAAATAAGTATCTATTTATACTTAAAAAAAAATATATATATATATATATATATATATATATATAATTTCATCATAAATTAGAAAATAGAATGACATATATATTATGAAGTATTGAAACATAATAAAAATATGGGGAGCAAACATATAATGTGTGATTATTTAAGTGTTATATAAATTTCTTATTGACATGTTTAAAAACTAGTGAAGATTATTGAAATATAGTTAAAGTTTTGATCGCTATATATAAATCTTCCAAATAATTACACAATATATTATTTAATAGTGGAGTGGTTAATAGTTTTTATTATAATTTATAACTTATAAGCCCAAGTAGTAATTACATAATATATTATTTAATAGTGAAGTGGGTAATTGTTTTTATTATAATTTATAACATGTGGAAATCAATCAAATAAGATAAGGGGAGTTGGTAGTGGAAATCAATCAGATAAGGGGGCATTGGTTTTGACGCCTTGGAAATCGGGAGGCTTTTCCCGTTTCCTCTTCCAGTCTTCCTCCACTTCTTCTTCTTCGATTGCTCCGCCTATTTCTCCACCGTCTTCTCCACCTAATTCCCCATCTTCTTGCCCTACAAAATTTCCCAAAACCTAGTCTAGCGCAGCAAAGATCCTTGAAAACGTTATCGGCTCCAACAAAGAAATCCGAAGAGTCTAGGTCAAAATTTTCATTTTTTTTTCCAGCAATTGCACTGTTTTTCATTCTATTGGTTTCTCTCTCGCTTTCTCTTCCCTCACACTCTCTCGCTCTCTTTCAAATTTTATGTTGTTGCCCTCTTCTTCTACTCTGTGTAGTGAAACACTGATGTGTAATTTTTTGACAGAACCGCCAAGTTCGCCCCCGAGACCGCCTAGCCCGCCCAGTCGGCCGCCTAGACACCGCCTAATACCCTTGTCGATTTATTGAACGTTTTTGGAAAAATCGCGGCAGCGGTCTGATGCCCAGCTCCTAGGCCGCCTTGACTGCATTTTAGAACACTGATATTTTCTCTCTTTTTATTTTTTGAAATTTTAATAAGCTTTAGTAGTAGTCATGGTCCTTACTCCACTAAGTCCTTACAATATATACCAAGTAGAGTAGAATTTTCTCCCCTCTCAATTTCTCTCCCCTTCTATCCCTCTTATTTAAATAATGGTTACGATTACACCACATCTACATTTTATTTTGAATTTTATATATAGAAGGGGAGAGAATCCTACTCCATACCAAGCAACAATCCTAACTAAATCCACGGCCGTCCACGTTCATAGATTTCATCACTGTTTATGTATTTAATTATCACATTTTACAATGATTCCTGTATAATATATGAAAACTAGTTTTTTAAAATACGGAATAGTGCGAAAGAATCGTATGTGTGATTCCTAAAATCATTCAGATTTCAGATCACCACTATATATTTTTCCTTATCTCTCTAGCTAGCTACTTCTGTTCTGGCTTGCTTTGTTAGTTGCTTGTTGTTTTTCTTTTACAAATTATGCAAAGTTCTGGCCTTGCCTAACATTCAACGTTAATTTGGACATATCAAAGTTTTGTTGTATTTGCCTACCATTCAACGATGAAAGGAAGAAGATTACAATCCACCCTTAGAAGAGGAGCGTACTTGCAACAAGTTTAAAATTACAAGATAATAATCACAAATATTGTAAGTCTCTGAAGGGGGAAAATCCATAAAATAAAATAAAATAAAAAAACCTAATGCATTTAAGGTTGCAAGATTGTATTGGAGATGAAAACTTCTGAAAAAATAAAAATTACTCATGAGATGGTAAAAACATTATGCTTTTATCTAGACAATGGAAAAATAAAGACATTGCGGCTCCTATTACCTCATGATCACGAAGCACCATTTACGAACAGTATTTTGATAAAATAGGACACGACAACATTAAATTAGAAAAAAAATGATAACTGACACAATAAAAATATAGTATAAAATAAGATTGAAACAAAATGACAAATGAGAACCCTGGCTATTAGTTGACCAAATAATATCAATATGGTAAGTTTCTTAACATAGAAATTTTTTTCAAAGAATGTGTGGATTTTTCTTAAAATATGCTAATGCAATTGAGTTGATATCTACTTTATTTATTTATTCTTGAGAAATATTAAGGGGACTTTCTTAAAAGTATAAATTTTGCAAACTTCATACTTTTTGTATAATGTATTATAATTTTGACAAGTAAATGAATGTTAAATTGAGAAGTGAGTTTAAGTGTTCATAAAAAATCTATCTCTAAAAGAACCTCCTTAACGTTTGTTTTTATTCTTTTGTTATCCAATAAAATTGATTCGTCCTTTTCGATTTTTGAAAGATCACTATTTTGAGATAAGGAGCGGGGCCAAGGGAGAATCATTTGGGTGGGGCCAAAGGGCCTTTAAACGACAACTGAACGCTTTTCTTTCTTCTATAATATCACAAGATTTCTTGGCAAAAACAATATTATGACAAAGTGTTTAAGCAATAAACATATAATGAAAAAAAAGGGTGTATTTATGTATTATCAGATGGGATCTAATGCTTATTTGACAGGTGCTCAAAGTTCAAAGTATTAATTTAAAATTAGCTCAACAGAAAGAAGAAAAAAAAAAAAAGAAGGGTATTTCTTCCAATTTTTATGATAATTTTAGTCCCTCGTCCTCATGGTTTCTTACTTTTTGGGATGAGGGGACTCGTTAATCAAATCAAGCCATGTGGTCGATATGTGGTCCTTGCCTGATACTAAAACTAGCACTAAATTAGCCATGTGGTTCATGCCAGATACTGAAAATAGTACTAAATCAAAGAAAAGGATCCTTGCGAGATTATTTTCTTGAGGATCCGAATATCTTGTAATTATTTCCGTTTATCGTATATCGTGAAATTAGAAATCATTTTAAATTTAAATTTTAAATTAAATATAAATAGTTCCTAATGAAAACTAATTGCACAATGTACGATGAACAGATACAATTACAAGATCACTCGTGTTCGTGGCTAGAATTTCCGTTGGGGATGTCTCTTAGCCGACGAGCACACAACTCCCCGAGAGGTCGGCGCCAGTTGATGCTTTCTGTCGAGCTTCTGCTTCACTGGCGAGCTTGTCGGGTAAGGCTGAAAGAGAAGGACATGGTTAACTTTGAAATGTGTCTTTGTGGGGCCTTAGGTATAGGCCTTGAGACTCACAATCAAGATTAACTTTTAAGTGCTCAGGCGTGCCACTGGCATCTTTAGCATGGCAAATGTAGAATGGATGTTGAGTTTTAGTTGCACATATACCCGAGAGGCCATGTTAGTTATGACAGGTGCCTTTGTAGGGCCTTAGGTGTATGTAGGGCCTTAGGTGTAGGCCTTGAGGCTTCCGGTCAAGAACTAACTCAGTACTCGAATATATGATGTCTGTTTTATTGCTTTGTAGAAGTGTTATAACCATTATACTTCTGATTATCCGAGCCCGCAGAGCAGAATGAACCCATATAGGTGCCTTTGTAGGGCCTTAGATATAGGCCTTGAGGCTTCCCATCAGAATTCCTTCTATACTCAAACGTTCTACTACAATCATAATATAATAGAAATAAAACTAAGAGATAAATTGATTACTTGCGCCCCAAGTAACTTCGGACTTCTTGTTATCAAAGCTAGTCGTGGATGTGTTAAGTCCACATAAGGTTCTTTTTTATGCATTTAGGCCAAGGACTTTTGAATGATCAATCTTACATGCCCGAAAGCTTAGAACTTAGATCTGGTTTGAACTGTGAAGACATATTCAAATCGGATTCAAGAACTGAGAGAATCTTTTAATCATCATCTTACTAGAAATAACTTGAATACAACTGGAAGTATATAACATATTGCTAGGCTAATGAATGAAAAGACAAAAACAAAGAGGGTCAGGCAAGGTTTAACCTTGTCGGGCAAGGCTGATCGTCTTGCAACTTCATATCTTTGTGGTTATTCAAGGGGTTTGAGAGCTTTAGAAAAGGAGGTAGGGAGTTGAGTTTACAGAAAGAAATCAATACTACAGCAAGCTTAAGACAAGGTAGCAGAGCTATTACAAAGGCTTTTGGTGAGGGTTTATCCCGAAATGGATGAAGGCTTGGGCTGACTACAGCTTCGTTTGAAGGCAAATCTGGCTTTGAGCAGAGTTTGTGCTTGTATTTGTTTTTTTGTTTGAGTGTCCTTATCTCTGATTTCTCTTTCTTCTTTTATAGACACTTCGGTTTGGCCTCATGTAGCAATAATCTTGCCCGAATGCAGCTTGAAGGATAATGACTCATCAGCTATTTACTTGTACTGCCACTGTAAAGTACTTTTGGGCTGATTAGCTGGCTGGTCTATACCACTTGGTCTCTAGGCAGGTGAGCAAGTGGTGCAAATGATCTGCACCTAGTCGGGAAAGGCCTTTTTTGCCTTCTGGGCTTGGGCTGGGCTTCGGGCTTCTCTCCTCTTTTTGGGCTAACTCCCTTTTGAGCCCAAAGTTTAAGTTTTAACCCAAACAACTCGGATCTGCAGAAATGATCATTTTCCCTAAATCAGCAAGTGAACGTGGTGTAGACCAGATCCCAGTGCATTTCCCACTACGCTTTGGAATATACTACCATCAATCTATAGCACGTGATTATTTTTTAGTTTAGTGATATTTATTCTTTTGAATATTAAAATAAAATTTTAGTATCTGTTCATCAAATTTGTATTTTAAAATATGTTATTGTCGATTTCGAACAATCATGTGTTGGTATGCTTATGGTATTAAGAGAAATGACAGGAACCGATCTCTTATTAAAAAAATAAAAAATAACATATCTCTAATTAAATAAACAAATTAAGTCTATTATGTCACCGTGTTTATAACGTTGGAACCATTTGCCCAAAGTCCAAACAGTAAACGCTCTCCGAAAAAGAAAAAAAAACCAGTGCAACGCATAAAGCTAGGCATTGGTTCCCCTACATATTTATGCCCATAACCAAATCACAAAAACCACACCACCCACTGAGAGCCTCGATCTCTTAGTTTCTTGACTCTCTTCTTCCACTGCTCTGCTTCTCACCCTCCTGTCTCTTGTTACATAAAGTCCTCTTCTGTAGCAAAACCAAACTAGGGCAAATACTATGGAAGAAATCATATCCTCATTCTGTCCACCCGATTTCTGCCAGGAAACCACATTTCAACAGCGCCTACAGTTCTTAGTTCAGAACGTGCCTGAGTGGTGGGTGTATTCCATTTTCTGGCGAGCCTCCAAAGACAGCAGTAGTGACCAAGTTTCCCTGTCATGGGCTGGCGGACATTTTCAGAACACCCGCGACCACTTGGCATCGAAAAGAAGCAATCAAGTGAACCGGGAAGTTGAAGCTCTTTTGCATGATGACGTGATGTATTTGGACATGAGGCTGGTGGATCATGGAGATGTCACTGACTCCGAGTTGTTTTACTTTTACACCGTTTCCTTAACCCAGTCATTCTCTGCAAGCCACGGTAATAATAGTAACAATATTTTCGGCAGGGCATTTGGTTCTGGTGGGTTTGTTTGGCTTGCAGGTGACCATGAATTTCAGTTTTATGAGTGTGAGAGAGTGAAAGAAGCCAGAATGCATGGAATCCAAACTTTGGTTTGCATTGCAACTCCTTGTGGGGTGGTTGAACTGGCCTCTTTGGATGTGATCAAAGAAGATTACGGTCTAGTGCATTTATCAAAGTCGCTGTTCGGATCAGACGGCAACCACAACAACAACAACAGGAGGCTCTCAAAGCATCAGACCAGTCTTGAAGGCAATATACTTGATCCTATCCTAGAAAATGAACTGTTTTCAGCAGATCAAAATGAACTGACCCGACAAGGTATGCACCAAAACTTATGTTAAATTCGAGAGCCGTTCGTTTTTTGGTACTTACCAAATACCAAAATATGGTACATGATTTGTACAATGTTCGAACTTGGTTGGTTATTTGTCGATATTACCAAATAGTGATCAAGCTCTGAAATGGCATGGTCAACGATTAGTACCTAGTACCAATTACCAAACATTTTTCTTTCATTTTGGTCATTTACTAAGTACATATTAATTGCATAGGTCCATCAGCAAATTACATTGCGTCATCTACGTGTAATAAACCTAATTTAACATGACGTTCAGTACTTCTTTTTTTTCCAGATGCAGGTGGAATAAACGAAGCTGCTGCACCTATCAATGTAGGAGGATCATCACTAGAATCACCTTCTAACTCCGTTGGTAATTTCACCTCCGAGAATACTAAGAACAAGACTCGATCAAAAAACAGAGGAAGGTCATCAAACAATGGAGCTGCAAGTAGACAATCACAATTGTCAAACCACGTTGAAGCCGAGAAACAGAGGAGGGAGAAACTCAACCACAGATTCTTTGTCCTCCGGTCAGTTGTTCCCAATGTGTCCAAAATGGACAGGTCCTCTTTGCTTGCCGATGCCGTGGCGTACATCAATCAACTCAAATCAAAAGTTGAGGAGTTGGACGCCAAAGTCCAAGAACAAGCACAAAAACCTAAAGCGGGCAATAATGCAAGTAACAATCTTGATCATCAGTCCAGCCAAAGCACCAGCGCTATAGTTGGCCAGCATCATTATTCTAATATTAATTTTAATGATAATACTATTAGTAATAGTAATAGGGCAGCTGCTGCTGCCGTTGTGGAAGTGGATGTGTATGTGAAGATTATGGGGTCAGAAGCCAAGATACGTGTTCAGAGTCCGGATCAAGACTACCCATATGCTAAGTTGATGAGTGCACTCAAAGGCCTAGGGTTACAAGTGTACCATGCAAGCATATCGAGCGTGAAAGAGTTGATGATTCAAGATGTTGTGGCAAGACTGCCTTATGGGTTCACTAGTGAGGAGGTATTGAGAAACGGTATTATTAAAAGATGGTCACATTAGAAACTATAAATTATTTTATTTAATTTTCTTTGCTAATAAGGACAGTGATTTTTCATTGAGTGGTGCTTGTTGGACCTCAGAGTCAGGTGTAAGTTGTCCCTTAGGAAGGGGGACCCCGGAGGAGATCAAACGTCTTAGGTAATACTTGTACGGACTACTGAGTAGTCTAACTTTATATTTATTAAATTAAATTAGGAAAATATTTATTAACAAGTAAGTAAAAATAATTTTTTTCTAATTTAATTATAACTATTTATTTTTGTACTATTGCGCAATTTGAATTAATGAAGAAAAATTGTAGTTTGTGTTGATTTTTATTTATTTATTTTAAGAGTACCTTTTCTTTTTATATGATAAGACACTTGCCTTTTCACTGTTTATTTTTATTTTTTTAATTTTTTTGGAAGTGGATCAATTTCATTTTAAGAGTGCCTTTTCTTTTCATATGATAAGAGACTTGCCTTTTCACTTTTTAATTTTTTTTAAAAATTTTTTTGGAAGGATCAATTTCATTACCAAACATAAAGAAACAGTATAAGGTCCAAAGATACAGAAGCATAAACAAACAAAACAGGACCTGTCAAACTAGCCCAAAAGACTCAACAAACAGTAAAGGCCCAAGCCCTAGAATATAACAATAGAAAACCAAAGTTTCCCTTGCAGCACCTGCCACCGAGCATCCCTACCAGCACAAACCCTCACCACTAACCAACCGACGCCTCGCCATTGCAACATCCAACCACGAGCACCTATCCAAACACAACCACACATACAAGAACCAAGAACCATGTAAAGGAAGCCCGTGGGATTCCACGAGCAACATTGCCAACAAAGGCAGACAATGAGAAAGTGGTGGTGTTGAACACCAGAGCTGATGGGAACACTAGAACACTACACACCATCTCGAAGTACCGCAACAAACAGCGGTTTGAAGCGGTTGCATATCGGAGCAGAGATGAGGAAGGAGGAACGTCGATAGGGGTATGAAGAAATGGGCAGATCGGAAAGGAGAGAGGGGAAAAACAGCTAAAAGGAAGACAATAGAACAAAGAAAGCACAACCACCAACCTCAGCAACAAGTCAGCATGTAAATATCTATAAGAGAGTGGTAAATTTAATCATTTTTTTAAAAGGAAAACTAATAAAAAAACTTGAAAACTTTGAGTTTTAACGATAATGACAAAATAAAAGGTAAAGTGAATAGTACTAGGATTGACTTTTTAGTGTAAAAATATGATTTTTCATTAAAGTAAACAGTACGGAGATCTTTTCGTTAAAGTTCCATTTTTTAAAACACATAAATAAATGTCATCTTTAAAAGTGTTCATATTTAGTATTTTATGTGACAGTTTTATAGTACTTAAAAAAATTAATTCGTTTCAATCAACTTTTTTACTTTTAGTTTTCATCTTAAAATATTATTATCTAAAAATTTTCTATTTTACTAAATTATGGCTGCATAAATAAGTGCCACCTAAGTTTAGTGTTAAGTAACTCTAGATAAAATGAGACTTTTAAAACCAAAGTTAACAATTGAGACATTTTTAAGATAAAATTTACTAACTCTAGCTAGATGCTAAGCAAATGTGTTTGCATACCTACTCATTTTGTATAGGATAATATTTGGGTACTCACTATTTGTTACTTACTTTTTAATTTTGTTCAATAATATTTTAACATGTTTTATTGTTTTAAAAAATCAGTGACAAATTATTAATTTTTCTTAGGTGTTAAAAATCAAGGAACATGTGATATTTTCAATCGTGAGCTCATAAATGAGTACTAAGTGTTATCCTTTTCCATTAAGTGTTTGAGACTTAGTCTAACAAGCCATTAATTAAATGGAACTTTAACGAAAAGCTCCTAGTATTGTTTACTTTAACGAAAAATCATATTTTTACACTAAAAAGTCAATCATAGTACTATTCACTTTATCATTTATTTTGTCCTTATGGTTAAAACTCAAAGTTTTCAAACTATTTTCATTAGTTTTCCTTTAATAAAATTGAACCTAATAATTTGTTTTTTAACAAGCCATATTTTTTTTTGAACAAATGATATTTTTTACATTAGAGAAAGGGGGTGGGCTTAGCGTCACAATGAGCTAGCAATAATAATGTATTCGCCTTTGACGAGAATCAAATCTAAGATCTCATATTTACAAGTAAAGAGAAATATCACTACACCGTAGTATTAAGTGGCAATTGAACTCCTCCCTCCCTTTAGTGAGGGGTCTTACGTTCGAATCTTGTGGATGCCAAATTCGATACCAAATTAGATTGCCCATTGTATGGCTTAACCGAACTCCTCGCTCCCCTAAGTGTAAAATATATTGTTATATTAAAAAAAAATTGGCTTCTGAACCTAATAATTGTTAAAAAACCGCATACAAGTTGGATTAGGACTATGCCTTATTTTGAGCCGGATAAAACCGAAATACCACTACAACAAAGAAATAAAAAATCCATTTATAAAGAGTGTTCATAGGAGACAGATATAAAAACATCCTATTATATTTGTCAATAGAATAACAATCTCTTCTATCTCTTGGAAAATGATCCTTGACGGATCATTTACGTGGGGATTCCGAAGATTCCGTGATTGTGACCGTTCATCGTATATCGTGCGGTCAAAAATTATTTAAAATTTAAAATTAAATATAAATAGTACCTCATTTTCCCTATTTTTTTGTAAATATAAGAGACACAAGTTTGTCGTCAGTAGATATTTACCTAAATTTTCTTGGAAATTAATATCAAATTTGAAATTTCTGGAATCTAGATTAATTTGAATTTCAAAAGGACGGAAGTTGTACGGCTTCATCTATATCAAGATAAAAAATATCTCATATCCATGGCTCTCTCTACATAATACATATTTTTATAGTACTCATCTTTGTATTTAATGTATTTTATGGGAATTGCAAATGAGAAAATAGAACCATATTTGAGTATTTTGTCACTTATTATTATGGTTTAGTAATATGTTTATATTGGGTAAATACTATGAAGACTAAATTTATAGACAAAATTTTAGATATTAAAGGATATAGAAGTTGATGATTAGTTTATTACTTAATCATTGGTAAACGTGCTCATTCTTATTGGTGACGCATCATTTAGTTTGCAAATTTTGTCTCTTTAGCATTATCCATTTTTATTACATGGTTGATTTGAGTGAGTACTTGCAGGGTAATGTTGTCGTTGGGTTCTCTACCACAACAAGGGCTTTTTTTTAGCTCTACACAAGTTCAACACATGGAGTTTTAATTCGACGGAACTGTGATGAGAATACGATGAACAACCTGCCGCCAGTGGTTTCTGTGCCGGCAGAACCCCATTGTTGAGCATGGCTAGGAAATGGGGTCAATGTCGAACTAGTTCGGTTTTTTTGTTGGTAGTGTGTGGTTTTGGTTGGTGGGTTGGTTTTGGTTTAGTGCATTTGTTGGGGGAACGGTGAAACGTGGGAAAGTAGTGATGATGATAGGCCTATGGTGAATGACTCGATCGATGAAGGATTTGAAAAGGGAACGAGCCCGAAGTGTTAAACTTTATAGGTTCAAGTATGGCCAACAACCAATATCACTCGTATTGTTTTAACTTAATCACCTATTATTATGTGTTGAGTTTTATCACAAAAAATCTCAATATTAAGGTGAAAATTCTTATATATTAATTGTATATTGTTGCCATATGACTAATATGAGATCATATTCTCCAACCACCAATATCACTCATATTGTTTCAATTTAATCACCTATTACTATGTGTTGAGTTTTATCACAAAAAATCTCGATTTAAGGTGAAAATTCTCATATATTAATTGTATATTATTGTCATATGACTAATATGAGATCATATTCTCCAACATGAAGAAGTTTTCATACAAGACATTGGCTCAATACATGAGTAATTTCGATGAGGGAAAGAAGTTTGGACATGGAGGATTTGGTGAGGTTTATAAAGGGTTGTTGTTAAGAGAGTATCTAATGAAATTGGGGTTCCACCATAAAATCAATTGGCAATATAAGGAGTAGCCCAAGACCATATAAGCATATAGCAAACTTTGTCCCTCACCGATGTGGGACAACTCTCAACACGCTCCCACACGTGTGTCGGATTTTCAAGCCTACACATGGACAACAATTGGGTGACGTGGAGCGCGTGTGGCCATTGGGCTTCACACGTGGACAACCTTGCTTTGATACTATGATGAAATTGGGGTTCCACCATAAAACCAATTAGCAATCTAGGAAGTAACCCAAAATCATATAAGCACATAGCAAACCTTGTCCCTACGTGTAGGGTGAGTCATCTTGGCTCTACGTGGTTGTCCATGTGTGGATCTCCCACATGTGACCCACTAATTGGGTCCCACGTGAGAGGGTGTGTGGAAATGTCCCACATCAAACGTATCAATGAGAAAAGAAGAGTTTATATATCTTAACCCCACTCCAACTAATATTGAGGCATTTTGTGATAAAACCCCACACCTAAGAATTGGGCAGGTGGTAAAGTGGGGATAGTATTGGTGTTGTTGGAGTGGGCCCTCGACTTATCGACCTGGAAAATTCAACATGGTATCAGAGCAAAGAGACGGGCCACGTGATTGGGTGGGTCCCCGTTTGGTCCCTCACAATGGGTGAGTTCGGCCATGGCTCTACGTAGGCTAAAGATGCTACGTGATTGGGTGAGTCCCTATTTGGCCCCGCGCAATGGGTGAGCCCTGACATGGCTCCATGTGGTTGCCAATGTGTGGATCTCTACGTGTGACCCATAAAATGGGGTCTCACGTGCGGGGGAGTGTTGAAACCAATTGTCCCACATCGGACAGAGGGAAAGAGAAGGAGTACTTTAAATATAATTACCCCACTCTAACTAACACCAAGGTCTTTTGTGATAAAACCCCACATTTAAGGATTGTGCAGGTGGTTAAGTGGGGATAGTATCGGAGTTGTTGGAGTGGGCCCTCGGCCCATGATAGGATTAAAAGCACACCATAAAGTAGCACACAAATATCCTATTGATTTTCCTTATTAACAATAAGATTTGTCAATTGTAGCATATGAAAATAAGGGTCTTTCCCGTAGAAGATTGTTTTATCTAACTACTTAAAATGTCACAAAAACTGGTTGCTGTCCCTACTGACCAGCCACCGAAAAATAATTATTAGACCAACTTACACTTATCTAAATTCTACGAAATTTTATGTGCAGATACTAGACACAAAGAGCTACACTCACACAAAGTTTTGGGATTTTTGGAGTTGATTTGCTATTTAAATTAAATCGAACAAAAACAGGACAGAAACATATATTAAGTAGTTCACAAATTAAGAAAAACGAGTTAGGGGTATTGCTATCCACCACCAAATAATGATGCAAACATGTTATGTTTCATTCAAATTTCTTTTATTTCTGGATGAAGATGCTCAAGTTGGCTCAATGTTAGAACTCAACCTATTACTCTTTCTTACGTAGTATGTTAAGAGAATGTCGTTTTCAACTTAACTTAGTTCCTAGCATGCAATCTAGAATGGCGTGTTCATAGATTTAACAAGAAGAAATCATTAAGAACGAAAAGAGTTTGAGTCATCACAAGGCATCGTAAGTACTAGCGTTGTCTTACTTATCCTAGAAATTGGTTCACATGTTAATCGCAATTAAAAGTACTACTCTAGAATATATGTAGGTCCTCATTCGACAAGGACAGGCACGCACATATTCATAGCATTAGAATCCTAGATATGCTTACTACGTATGCATCCATAGAAAACAAATAAAGAATTCATCAATGAGATAAGTAGTGAACCAATTTTCATCCATTCATAAAAGTAATTCAACGAAATGTCATAACAAAATTGCAATCATATTCGAGGCTTCAAAACAGCCCATAACTACTAAAAAATTTAGTTACACACAATCCTTAAGTTAAAAAAAAAGATAGACATGAGTTTGAGAAGATAGAACCGAAAGAAATCGACCGAGGCCTCCTCCTGCCTCTTCCTTCCTTCCCCGTTGTGCCCGGACCCTGTCGCACCACGAGGCGCTGTCGGCGAGTCGGGTTGTTTGGGAATGCAGCCCCAATCGGGCGGTAAATTCTGTCCAAGGCTAAATACGGGGGGCTTCAAAACAGCCCCTAACTACTAAAAAATTTAGTTACACATAATCCTTAAGTTAAAACAAAAGATAGACATGAGTTTGAGAAGATAGAACCGAAAGAAATCGACCAAGGCCTCCTCATGCCTCTTCCTTCCTTCCCCAACGCAACTGCCTTTAAACCCATTCTTGCTGCCCCATTTCTGCTCCATAACTCACCCCACTAACAACCATTTAGTGATGACAATAAGTGAGAGGAAATGTGGTAAAACAATTGTAACACTTTGGGCAACCTTTATGCCAATTACTCCCTCTTAATCCTCATCTTTAATTTCATTCCCTTTTATATTTGAATAAGTGTCAGCTGACTTGTTTTTGGCTGCATCAGTTTTGGTTGCTAGCTTTATTGGGTTTATTGCTTTCATTGCAGTTACGAACTGCTCAGCCTCTTGGTAACCTTTCAGTGTTAAAACGGCCATAACTTCTTCTAGAAAAATGATATTAACAATCCGCGAAATGATACAGAAAATAGACATCCGTAGCTTTCCAAGAATATAAGGCTCATTCTCTAATTCATCCTGAGCTGTTCGGAAATTGCTTCCAAAGTCCGCTGATCTGCACAGGCAGTTTTGACGAATTTGTTACTAAAAATCCTACTTGTGCTATTTTTCTTTTATTTGCTTGACAAATCCCACAAAACACAAAAACAAAGTAAATAGCTCAAAAATATAAGGAACTAACTAAGAAAAGAGAAGTGAATTTGATGTAAAATATATATAAATATAAGCTTATCAAATACCCCCACACTTAGCTTTTGCTAGTCCTCGAGCAAAACAAAGAAACCATGAAAAAAATTAGCTTCCCCCTATGTGACCCTCATAGAATTTCATTCAAGAAAACAAATAATCAAAAACCTTAGCTAGCACCAAACAAACTAATCCAAGCTCATCTTCCTTATTCAAATGTTAGCAGTAACTTTTTAATCATCCTTGAAGTGTAGTGTGTGTAATAGCCATGCCAATGCAATTTCAAGTTTTTTTTTTAAAACACCACATGCTAACTAGTGATCTTCTCACGGGACATGCACTCAATCACGCATATGTTTAGTTTAACGTGTTTCACTCAAAGAATCAAATGTGAAAGATCTACCATAAGCTTGCATAAAGATCTCATCTCCACAATCATAATTGCAAAACTTAAATCAAGAGGACTTTTATTGGTTGTAATGAGGCTTAGGAAGAGTGTTATAGAAATGAAAGGATAGGTAAACACAAGTTCCAAGCTACATTGCAAGCAATTCTCTTGTTGAGATTTACAAGAACTCAAGCTTTCCAACCACTCTGCTAATACCTCCAACCACACTTCTAAACTGAAACCTAAAAAAAAACTTTTTATTTGCTTTGTATACTTTTTTTTTCTTTCTCTTTTTTTTTTCGAACCAATTTTCGTACATAACTAAATACAAACATGAAATACCCCCACACTTATTCTTTTGCCAAACTCCTTCGAAGTACTTCACAAATATTTCTCATAAGACAATCTCACATTGCTCACTAGCTAGCTTGGAAAGGGTAAGGAAAAATGTTTAAGGTATAAGGGTAGACATATTTGGTGATAAGAAATAAAAGGCTCAATATATACGGCTCAAATTGGCAATCTAATGATATCATTTTTCTTTAGGAAACATGCTTATTTGGGCCATGGTGATAAACCTAATGCCTCTATCATTTTCAAGTTCATGCAATCAAATGACAAACATTTCGAAAGATCGTTACGCAAGTTCTAGAGATGTAATTCACATAAGTTCATTACACATGAAAGAATATGAGTGTATGAAAAATGCACACACTTTCAATAGGCTCAAAAACTCACATAGGTTGTATATGGTCACTATATTCACATGTGAAGCTTTAAGTCATACTTTAGTTTCACATCAACAAGGCTATGTGCATTTGGTTTTTCAAAGATGATTAAACATATACAAGGCTAACAAGAGAATAAGGAATTTCACACAACACATGCTTACTAAGTTCTTGATCACCGTGGTTCAAATTCAATCCAATTATATCATTGAGTCGGGAAACTAACAAAAATCAACTTCAAAACGATAAAGAAAATATGACAATATTTTTGGATTTTCAAATTTTCTGAATGTTTTTTTTTGTTTTTTTTTAAAGTAAACAAAACTAATTAAGAAAATAAAAAGAAACAACGCGGAAACAAATCAAACCAGTTCTTAGTCGAAGGTACGAAAATTTTCAATTTGGTCATTTTTTTCAATCCTTACCCCCAAACCTAAACTGGACATTGTCTCCAATGTTAGAAAAAACACAATAATGCATAAAATAAAAATAAAATAAAATAGTAAGAAACAAAATAAAGCATTTGGACTGAAAACTTCCCCAATTTGAAGTAAAATCAAGCAATGACCCCCAAACTCCAATTTTACAATCAACTTCAATGGTGGACACGATCAAATTTTCCTACGAAGATAAGAAATATTTCAGTTTAGCATGCAAGAAAATTCAGAAAAAAAAAATGGAAAATTGAAAATGACAAAAAAAAAACAATGAATAGAAATATTGGGTTGCCTCCCCATAAGCGCTTGCTTTTACGTCCGCAGCCGGACGGTACCAAGAGTAATCATCCAAGGGGAGATGGTTCTTGGAGGGGTACAACCTCCACATCATGCTCCGCAAAAGACTCATAATATGGCTTGAGTCTATGCCCATTCACTTTGAACATGTTTCCGGTCTTTGCACTTTGGATTTCCACTACACCATGAGGAAAAATATTAGTTATAACAAATGGACCAACCCATCGAGAACGAAGTTTACCTGGAAATAACCGAAGGCGAGAATTAAATAGAAGAACTTTTTGTCCAATGGAAAAGCTCTTCCTTGATATCATCTTGTCATGAAATGCTTTTGATTTCTCCTTGTATATTCGACTAGACTCGTATGCATCATTCCGGATTTCGTCTAACTCATTCAATTGAAGATTCCTCTGTTGTCCAGCAACACTCATGTCCATGTTGTAGGCTTTGATAGCCCAATAAGCTTTGTGCTCTAACTCTACTGGAAGATGGCATGGTTTCCCATAAACTAACCGAAATGGGGACATTCCAATAGGAGTCTTATAAGCAATCCTATAAGCCCACAATGCATCATTCAAGCGCATGCTCCAATCTTTCCTACTAGGACTCACAATTTTCTCTAAAATTTGTTTCACCTCACGGTTTGATATTTCTGCTTGCTCACTAGTTTGTGGATGATAAGGTGTAGACACCTTATGTGTGACATTGTACTTCCTAAGCAATGCTTCAAATGTTCGATTGTAAAAATGACTCCCTCCATCGCTAATGATTGCTCTAGGTATTCCAAATCTTGCAAAGATGTTACTCTTAATAAAATCTGAAACAACTTTTGAATCATTAGTTTTGGTGGCTTTTGCTTCCACCCATTTAGAAACATAATCCACAGCCATAAAATGTAAAGAAAACCATTTGAAGATGGAAAAGGTCCCATGAAATCAATGCCCCACACATCAAAGATCTCAACAACCAAAATAGGGGTTTGTGGCATTTGATTTCTTAGGCCCAAGTTACCTATTCGTTGACAACGATCACATGTTGCACAAAACTCGTACGCATCCTTCAACAAACTAGGCCAATAAAAACCACTCTCTAACACCTTCAAGGCTGTCCTCTTTGCTCCAAAATGGCTACCACATGCATAAGAATGACAAAAAGTTAGAATAGATTTAAACTCAGATTCAGGGACACACCTTCTAATCAATTGATCAGTGCAATATTTCCACAAATAAGGATCATCCCACCCACTCGTAGTATTTGGCAGTTTTGACAAGCTTATCTTTTTGAGCACATGTATAATCATCCGGAATCTTTTTGATGACCTTGTAATTGATAATATCTGCATACCAAGGGTCAGTAATCTTTAATGAAAATAATTGCTCATCCGGAAAACTCTCACGTAAAGGGATGAGATCTTTCTCTGTGTTTGAATGCACAAATCGGCTAAGATGATCTGCTACAACATTTTCACTCCCTTTCTTATCCTTGATCTCCAAGTCAAACTCTTGAAGCAGAAGTATCCATCGAATGAGTCGCGGTTTTGCATCTTTTTTTGTGAGTAGATACTTCAAAGCTGCATGGTCAGAAAACACAATAACTTTAGTCTCAATCAGATAAGATCTAAATTTTTCTAAAGCAAATACAACAGCTAGAAGCTCATTCTCTGTTGTTGAATAATTCAATTGTGCATCATTGAGTGTTCGAGATGCATAATAGATGACATGTGGCACTTTGTTGACACGCTGCCCTAGAACTGCACCAACATCATAGTCTGAAGCATCACACATCAACTCAAAAGGTAAACTCCAATCTGGTGGAGCCGTGGATAACAACTCCTTAAGCTTGTTGAATGCTACCACACTCTTCATTCATATCAAATGTTACGTCCTTTTGAAGTAAACGGCACAAGGGTCTAGAAATCATTGAGAAGTCCTTCATAAACCTACGGTAGAAACCTGCATGTCCAAGAAAAGAACGAACCTCCCTGACAGTAGTAGGGATGGGTAAAGAACTAACAAGTTCTACTTTAGATTTATCAATTTCAATTCCCTTTTCAGATATGATATGCCCTAGAACTAATCCATGCGAAACCATGAAATGACATTTTTCCCAATTTAACACCAGGTTAGTTTCTTGAGAACGTTTTAAACTAGGGACAGATTATGTAGACATGTATCAAAAGAATCACCATAAACTGAAAAATCATCCATGAACACTTCAATTATTTTCTCAATCATATCAGAAAATATACTTACCATACACCTTTGAAATGTGGCGGGAGCGTTGCAAAGTCCAAACGGCATCCTTCGATATGCAAATGTGCCAAATGGACATGTGAAAGTCGTATTTTCTTGATTCTCCGGAGCAACTGCAATCTGATTATATCCAGAATAGCCATCAAGAAAGCAATAATGAGAATGACCAGCTAACCTTTCTAACATTTGATCAATGAACGGAACTGGAAAGTGATCCTTGCGTGTGATGCTATTTATCTTCCGATAGTCTGTACAGACTCTCCAACTATTTTGCACATGTGTAGGCACTAGCTCACTAGCTTCATTCTTAACAACTGTGACTCCGGATCGCTTCGGAATTACTTGAATAGGGCTCACCCACTTGCTGTCCGAAATAGGATATATGATGCCAACATCAAGAAGTTTGATAACCTCTTTCTTAACGACCTCCATCATGAGTGGGTTCAAACGGCGTTGAGCTTCCCTAGTTGGTTTTCCACCTTCTTCCAGCAGAATCCTATGCATACATGTAGCTGGATTTATACCTTTGATATCTGCAATGCTCCAAGCTATGGCAGTTTTGTGATCCTTCAGTACCCGGATCAGTTTCTCCCCCTCTTCTGCTGTGAGTTGTGACGATATGATGACTGGTAATGTTTCATCCTCTCCCAAAAATGCATACTTCAGATATTCAGGGATCGGTTTAAGCTCCAATTTAGGTGCCTGAATCACAAAAGGAAGAGTTTTTTTGTTAGAAGTAGGAAGAGAAATAAAATAGGAAGAACACTTACCACAAATTGGTGAAAGAGACTCAAGAGAGGCCACTGTTTGGATTAATTCTTCTTCAATGTGCTTTGAATAATTAAAATTTCCATGTGTAATGCTATGCACTAATGCCTTTTCCAAATTATCTTGTCCCACACCTTCATTAAAACAATCCTGCACAAAATAGTCAAACGCATCAATAGACAAACAAGATTCTAAATCACTAGGGTACCTCATAGCATTGAAGATTTTGAACTTGACACTTTCTCCATCAATTTCCATGGTTAAGGTACCATCGTAGACATCAATCTTTGTCCGTGCTGTTCTAAGGAATGGTCTTCCCAATATAAGAGGAAGTGCAGTAGGCATAGGGTCATGTTCCATCTCAAGAACAAAAAAATCAGCGGGAAAAATGAGCTCATTCAGTTGCACAAGTACATCCTCCAATAGGCCTTTGGGATATCTATTTGAACGATCTGTCAACTGGATTACTACCTTTGTTTCCTTCAAGTCTCCAAGGTTCAATGACTCATACACTGAATATGGCATCAGATTAATGGATGCCCCAAAATCGCACAAGGCTCTCCCAAACTCTTTCCCTCCGATTACACATGGAATGGTAAAGCTACCGGCATCCTTTAACTTCGGTGGCAGTTTTCTCTGCAAAACAGCTGATACTTCCTCACTTAATGCCACAGTTTCTTGATCATTGAATCTCCTCTTGTTCATACAAAGCTCTTTAAGGAACTTTGCATACTTGGACATTTGTTTTATGGCATCTAAAAGAGGTAAGTTCACTTGGACTTTCCGGAAAGTATCCAAGATTTCCTTATCATTTTGCTATTTCTTAGACTTCATAAACCTACTAGGAAAAGGAATAGGGACACATGAGTTAAATGAATTTTGAACTTCTTTACTTACCTTATCAGAATCGTTTTTGTTCAATTCTGTATCTTTAGGAGACTTTTCAGTTTCTATTGAAGCCTCATCTTGCTCAAGATTCTTGGTTTGTAGCTCCCCTTGTTCAATTGTGTCTTTTCTAGTCCTCTTTTGCATCCTCAACTGCTTAAAAACTTCTTTTCCACTCCTTAAAGTCACAACATTCATCTGCTCCGCATTTGGATTCACCACGGTTTGGCTAGGCAGCCTTCCTGGTTGGTGTTGTTGCCTCATCAAACTTGCTAACTGACTCATTTGGCGCTCAAGGTTTTCAATTGCTTTGTCTGTTTTCTGTTGATGAGATTGAGTAGAGTTAGCTAAAGAAGCAATTAAATCCTTAAGAGACTTACTTGGAGCTTGTTGTTGTTGAGGCTGAAATGGTGCCTGCGGTCTTGCTTGAAAGAAGCCAGGCGGACGGTTATAGTTGTTGGGAACATATTGTTGTTCGTTGTCTTGATTGTTCCACTTTAAGTGTGGATGATCGCGCCATCCTACGTTATAGTTGTTGGAATATAGATCATACTTTTACCTTTGTTGCCTTTGAAATCCTCCTAACGCATTAGCTTGCTCAAGACCACCTTGATCTATCAACGAAGGGCACATGTCCGTGGCATGTCCCATCATTGAAAGCACACCATAACTTGTTGCACAAGATTAGTCAAGTTAGCTAATTGTAATTCAATACTAGAATTAGCACTTACCTCGTTAACTTTCTTAAAAGGTAGCTCATCTCTCCCTCCAAATTTTCGTGTATTGCCAGCAATGTTCTTTAATAATGCCTTAGCATTTATTGGTGTCATGTCCCCGGCAACGGCGCCAAAAATTTGATAGGACTAAAAGCACACCATAACCTGTTGCACAAGATTAGTCAAGTTAGCTAATTGTAATTCAATACTAGAATTAGCACTTACCTCGTTAACTTTCTTAAGAGGTAGCTCAGTCAAGTTAGCTAATTGTAATTCAATACTAGAATTAGCACTTACCTCGTTAACTTTCTTAAGAGGTAGCTCATCTCTCCCTCCAAATTGTCGTGTATTATTGCCAGCAATGTTCTTTAATAATGCCTTAGCATTTATTGGTGTCTTGTCCATGAATGCTCGTCCACTTGCTGCATCAAGCATTACACGATCAGTACCACATAATCCTTCATAAAAATACTGTATTAAAAGATGCTCTGAAATTTGATGATTAGGACAAGATGCAACCAAATGTGTGAATCGCTCATAGTAATCTCCAAAGGGCTCTCCATGTTGTTGTCGGATTGCACATATGTCCTTCTTTATGCTTGCAGCTTTTGTGGCCGGAAAATATTGCTCCAAAAATGCTTGCTTCACCTGGTTCCATGTGTTCATTGATCCCGGAGGTAAATTGTAAAGCCACTCATTTGCCTTGGCTTCTAATGTAAATGGGAATGCCCTCAACTTGACTTGCTCCTCATCCACATTTGCTGGTCTCATTCCCGAGCATACCACGTGAAACTCCATGAGATGCTTATTGGCATCCTCTGTTGAGAAGCCATGGAACTTAGGCAGGCATCCTCTGTTGAGAAGCCATGGAACTTAAGCAAGTAGTGAATCATGTACCCATTTTTACTCATTTGGGCCATTCGCTGTTCGGATCAGATGGCAACATCAACAACAACAACAGGCTCTCAAAGCAGAGCAGACCAGCCGTGGCGGCAATGTGCTTGTTCCTATCCTAGAAAATGGATTGTTTTCAGCAGACCAAAAGGAATTGACCGGACAAGGTATACACCAAAAACTATGTCAAAATTCGTGAGCAATTCTTTTTTTGGTACTTACAAATACCAAATTATAGTACTTAAATTTGTACAGCGTTCGAACTTTTTTGGTTATTTGTCGATATTATCAAATATTGATCAAGCTCTGAAAATGGCATGGCCATTGATTAGTAATTTAGTACCTAATACTAATTACCAAACAATTTTTCTCCCTTTTGATGATTCACTAAGTACATATTAGTTGCATAGGTCCATTATTTAATTACACTGCGTTCATCTACCTGTAATAAACCAAATTTAATATCGATGTTCAATACTTTTTATTTATTTATTTAATTATTTTTTTTATTTTCATTCAGATCAAGGTGGTATAAACGAAGCTGCACCTATCAATCTAGGAGGGTCGTCACCGGAATCACCTTCTGACTCCGTTGGCAATTTCACCTCCGAAAATACGAAGGATGATAAACACGTATTTATTACAATTGTTACCCTATTATTTATATTTGTTAGTGCCTCATAAAAATTATTCTTAGTAAATTACTTAAGTTTTTGTAATTTATAAGGATTATGATGCTTATTGATAAAAGTGGAATTTAACGTGATCTTAACACATTCTATACATTATAGTCTTCCTAACCATTGGCTTCATCCATTTAATCAATTATTATTTTATTCTTAGATCGAAGGCCAATTGGTGGTGTGACTTCAAGTTATTTGGCTATGAGTTAAAGAGGAGACGTGGCCTTTGTCATTAACCACAGATGAGGGACTTCAACCGACAAATTAAGCGGTGAGAGTGGATGCATTTTCTTCATTCTACCTTTGGAGTTTTAGTCAAGCGAAAGCAGAGAGAAAGATGGGAAAGTATTTTACAAATTTTACTTCCAATTCGTGTGGTTTTGAGTACATGGAGATGGAGTGGGCATTCTTGATTTTTAATCAAATTGAATTTTGGCATGGGCTCAAAAGAAGTAGGAGGACTAAGGAGAGATGAAAAAGGAAATAGATTTGACGTGCTGGAAGATGTTTTTGCTTTCGTATTCCAGTTGGAGTTTAGCATTGAAGAGGGATTCAAAAGGAAACTAAATCAGACTTGGAGTGGGCTTGACATGTAGGGCTTTGATTCTTATTAATTTTCACGGTGTGCAACCGATAAAAGGAAAAGCAGCAGCAAAGAGGGGGGACTCCGGCTTCTTCTTCTGGCGTGGAACAAGGCAGCGGCAAAGCAGTAACAATTTGGTTCTTTTTCTCTAGTTTTATTTTATGCAAATTTTCCTTCTTAGAATTAATATGAATTCTTTGTTCATGGGGTTCTAAACTCTTAGCTAAGGTTAAGAGGAGGCCCTAATTATGATTACTCTAGTTATATGATTGTTTAATTCGTGAATTTCATATTGATGATTAGTTTTCATTCACTAGAGGAATTGTAATTTTAATATTTGGTTCTTTGTGCTTGACCATAGTCTAGGATTTTGATACTGAAATTATTTGCATATGAATTTATTTCTGACCATGAATTGGATTCTATCAATGCTTTGTGAATGAGAATCATGAATTTATATTTTGATCCGACTGTAGACGAATATTGGTTTGTGTGGCTTCCTAGAAAATTAGCTATTTGTTTGACGCGACCAAGTTGATAAGTGGTTAATTTGTTTCTCACTACGCTTAATTGGATTTCTACATATTTGTGTATACTGGACCATGGATATAAAGATTGTAGGAATAGTTGAGTTTAAGCCTGACCACGGTAAAATTCACATCTCTTTGGGAAATTATTGGCATGTGTACCTGACCACGAACATATGTACAGAAGTTTTCATTAATTTGATAATTCATGAGTTGACAATTGGATACTAGGGAATGACAATTAGTGGTGGAATCAAGGCCTTAATGTTTTCTTACATTTGTTCTCAATCATATTTATGTTTAATCATTGGTAATTTTAATTATTCTTCGATACAAACCCAATCTTTATTTCAATTTGTTAAGTAATAGTTATAGGATTAAATTATTAAATCAACTCCGGTGGATTTGATCTCATATTTACATATTTCTACTACAACTTATTCGTGTACTTGCGAGTAAATTTGGGTTGAATTAATCTATTTATTAGGTTAGTTTAAATTCACATAAGAGGACATGGCTTGACCAAAAAAGCGAGGAAGAGCGTCAAACCATGGAGCTCCAAGTAGAGAATCACAATTGTAAAACAACGTTGAGGCAGAGAGACAGAGGAGGGAGAAGCTCAACCAACGATTCTATGTGTTCGACTGGAGGAATTTCCGCTGGGGACGTTTCCTGGCCAACGAGCACACAGCTCCCCAAAAGGTTGGCGCCGGTTGATATTGTCTGTCGGGGTTCTGCTTATTGGCAGGCTGTAAGAGAATGACAGAGTTAATTTTGAAAGGTGCCTTTGTGAGGCCTTAGGTGTAGGCCTTGAGGCTCACAATCAAAATTAACTTTAAGTGTTCAGGCGTGCCACTGCGATCTTTAGCATGACAGATGTATGTTTAGTTTATTTGTATATGCCCGAGAGACCAAGTTAGCTATGAAATGTGCCTTTGTAGGGCACTAAGTGTAGGCCTTGAGGCTCACAATCAAAACTAACTTAGTATTCGAACATATAGTGGTTGTTTCATTGTTGCGGAAGTATTATAACTGTTATACTTTAATCACCCGAGCCCGAAGAACAGAATGAACCCATATAGATGCCTTTGTAGGGCCTTAGGTATAGGCCTTGAGACTTCCCATCAGAATTAATTCTATTCTCAAACATTCTGTGGCAATCATAATATAACATAAGTAAAACTAAGAAATAGGCTTGATTACTTGCGCCTCAAGTAACTTCGGACTTTTTGTTATCAAGGACTGTCGTGGATGGGTTAAGTCCACATTGAGTTCTTTTTTATGCCTTGAGACCAAGGACTTTTGATTGATCAATCTTGTATGCCCGAAAGGTTAAAACTTAGATCTGGTCAAGCTATGAGTGCGAATTCCAACTTTACTTTTACATGGTCGGGCACCATTGAACCAACCAGATTCAAGAACCAAGACACTTTTTATTCATAAGCTTGCTAGAAATAACTTGAATCCAGATGGAAGTATAAATCATACTACTAGATTTATGAATGAAAAGACAGAAACGAAAAGGGTCAGGCAAAGCTGATCGTCTTGCAGCTTCATCTCTTCGTGATTTACAAAGGGTTTAGGAGCTAAAAGGGGGAATTGGGAAATGAGTTTACATAAAGGAATCGATACTACAGCAAGATTTAGACAAGGTAGCAGAGCTTTTACAAAGGCTTTTGGTGAAGGTTGATCTTAAAAATGATGAAGGCTTGATGCTGATTACAGCTTCGTATGCAAATCTGGCTTGAGCAGAGTTTGTATGTTTGTTTGTTTGATTGAGTGTCCTTTGAGCAGAGTTTGTCTTTCCTCTTTTATAGACGATTTGGCTTGGCTGCCTACAACATCAATCTTGCCCGAATGCAGCTGAAGGGTAGTGACTCATCAGCTTTTTACTTGTACTGCCATTGTAAAGTACTTTTGGGTTGATTAGCTGGCTAGTCTACACCACTTGACTTCTAGGTAGGTGAGCAAGTGGCTTAAATGATTTGCACTTAGTCGGAAAAAAAGGCTTCTTCTGCCTTCTGGGTTTCCGCCGAACCTTGGGCTTCCTTCCTTCTAAACCTCCTTCTGAACTAACTTCTTTTTTAGCCCAAAGTTCAAGTTTTAACCCAAACACTATGTCCTATGGTCAGTTGTTCTCAATGTGTCAAAAATGGACAGGTCCTCTTTGCTTGCCGATGTCGTGGCGTACATCAATCAACTCAAATCAAAAGTTGAGGAATTGAAGGCCAAAGTCCAAGAACAACTACAAAAACCTAAAAAGGGCAATAATGCAAGTAACAATCTTGATCATCACTCTAGCCAAAGCACCAGCTCCATAGTTGACCAGCATCATAATAATATTAGTAAAAGTAATAGGTCAGCTGCTGCTGCAGTTGTGGAAGTAGATGTGAAGATTATAGGATCAGAAGCCATGATATGTGTTCAGACTCCAAATCAAGACTACCCATATGCTAAGGTCATCTTCAACCGAGGGCCAGGCCAAAGGGCTCGTGGGTCCCATTAGACAAAAAAGGGCCAACCAGCTGGCCCAAATGAGCTAGCTAGCTAACGGGCCCCGGGTCGGGCTAAAAAGTTTGAATCTCAATGGCTAGCTGACGTCAACTAGCCGTTATTTTTATTTTACAGTTTTTTTTTTTGGCCAAAAATTTAAAAAGAATATTTAATTAAGGTCCAAAAAGGTGATTGGTTCCATGTGGGGATGTTGCTTTTATAAGCATGTTTGATTACTCAAACCTCTCCCACAGCAGATGTGGGACAAATATAATGGGTGCCACACATGCAAGCTTTTGATTGCTCAATTTTCTCCCGATGTGGGACAAATATGGGTGCCCCAAATATAAGCTTCTTATTAGAAATGGTAAATGTGCATTTAAATTAAGTTGTAGTTTTTAAATTTAAATAATATGTTTGCCCCTATGACCATTTGGCCCTCAATTGGAGATGTTTTTTGTGACAGGGTTAAAACGAGCCCTATGACCCTTTGGCCTTCAGTTGGATATGGTAAGAAATATGGCCCTGCATTGTTCATTAAAATATTAATTTCTTGCGTCAGATGGCTAAAGCGAGCCCACTGGCCAACCTTCGGTTGGAGATGGCCTAAGTTGATGAGTGCACTCAAATGTCTAGGGCTACAAGTTTGCCAATGGCTAAGCCAGGATTTGCCGAGGGGAGGGGTGAAATTCAAAAGAGTGCAAGGTTTAATTGAAGCAGTTGTTTTTATATTGTAGAGTGCAAAGTTTTAAGTCAATATTCATAGCAGAAAATAGTCTCTCCACCAAAGCGATTGTAAGTGGTAATATCAAAGCCAATTTAATAAGCTTAAATTGGCTAGGATTAGATTCTAAAAAAGGGGGCTAGTCAGGCAACGAACTAGAACCTAGTTTAAAACTAGCTTAATTACTAAATTGTCCTTGTTTAAATAAATTATTTGTATGCTATAATTATTGAAAATTAAGTTTATCTAATTAAATATATCCATAAACAATGCTTTTTATGAGATCATTATTTCCAAAACTTTTTATAAGATTGTTATTTCCAAAGCCACTTTGTAGTATACAATGCAAGCATGTCGAGCATCAAATAGTTGATGATTCAAAATGCTGGGGCAAGACTGCCATATGGATTTACTTTTTTTTTTTAACAGGGAGGATATTGTATTTCATTCAACTTTACAAACATATACAAAGGTGGCCAGTTGGGTACATAAACTTCAATGACCAAGAAATTGATCTGAAGTGAATTTGTGCAGTACAACAAATAATAGTAAACCCCTATACGACAACCACAAATACTGTCATAACCCCACATACTGTCATCAATACAAATTTGTTACAAACACATGCAACAAAATTATATAGACAACCACATAAGTCATCGCATAAATGCGAGGCCACAAAATGTCATTGCTGAGCGAGACCACAAAAATGATCCACGTTAAAAACGAGACCACTAACTCAACGTAAAAAGCGGAGACAACATTAACCAATGTAAGCACGCAACCACCACATACATAGGGAGAATAACCTAGACTAAAATACAATAAAATAAATCCGACATGTCCACAGTGGAGCAGCAAGCAAGAGATAGTGGAGTGGCAAAATGTGTAGAGATAACAGAGGCATGGGACACCCACCGAAGTTGGGGCGATACCCAAGGCACCAAAGACCGGCATTCGCCGCCTGGAGTGAGATGTAACAAGAGGAGGAAAGCAATGGCCGACAAGGATGGCAAAGGGAACCAACCACCCCGCCGCATGACTGAAGCAAACCCAAATAGGCTGAAACGATATTTCCAAGGGCAAAGCCCTTGGGGAGCCCAAAAGCAACAACGGTTTTGCACATTAAAACTGTGAGCAACCAGGAGGCCCCCGCTGGGAACACCCAAAATTGACGCCACCCAGGACAAAGCACGACAGATCCAAAGGCCCACCATGCCAAAGCGAGGGAGAGACCCATCGAACATGATACTGAAACAGCAAGACCAAACCCGGCAGCCACTGAAGTCACCCAAAATCACAAAAAAACAAAGCCACCCATGGCCACCAGAGGAACCCTTGTGGCAAAGCCCACTCGTGAAACTAAAGACAACCGTGGGGGGAGAAGGAATTGAGAGGAGCCTCGGATGAATGAGGGGGAGAAGAAACACCAAGGGAGGAAGCTGGGGGAACTAAGGCGGGGAGACAGGGATATGGGGGAACATGGGGACGGGGTATAAGAGAGTGGAGTGGAAGGGTGGGGGAGGCTTAAGAAGAAAAAGGGAACGAGAAAATGGAGGAAAGCTAGGGGAATGAGGATGAGAGGTAATGGAAGGAAGGGTGGAAATGTGGGAGGGGGTGGGGAAGAAAGAGAGGATGGGGAGAAGAGAGGAAAGCTAGGAGAATGAGAAGGAGAGGCGCCCATCGACCCCCAGCCTTAGCCAGAGGTTGGCGACTATGGAGGAAAGGGAAGTTGGCTGAGAGAAGGGAAGTTGGCTACTCTTCTCCAACCATACAGACCGCCTTATGGATTAACTAGTGAGGAGGCACTGAGAAATGATATTAAAAAGACTGTACCATTAAAAACTATCAATTATTTTATTTAGTTTCCTTTGCTAATGAGGACAATGCTTTTTTTTTTTATTGAGTAATGCTTGCTATAGCATGTACGTCAAAGTCAGGTGTAAGTTTATAATTAAGAGGGGTATATTCAATTGATATTTTGAGGGATTTTAGTTCTTCTAATGAAGTATTCAATCAGTATTTTAAGTGATTTTCTAAAATTCAAGGTGTAATCAATCATGATTTTAAAATCCTTCCAAATCTGTGTATTTAATTATGATTTTAAAGAAATTTATAACATTCCAGGGGTATTAATTAAAAATTGATTTTAAAGAATTTGAAAAAAAATTGAGGAATTAGAGGGAATTAGAGAGATTTTGTAGTGTATTATTTTAAGCATCCACAAATATCACATCTCCCTATGAGATTTTGAGGGAATTGAATCAAAATTTTATGGAATCGCTACAAATCAATTAAATTCCATAAAAATCCATGGATTTATAAATCCATTAAAGTTTCTTAAACTCTCAATTGAATACACCTCCCTAAGTGAGACTTCTTTTCTTTTTCTTAAATAAGAGTATTTTTTTTTCATATTTAATGGCAAATTTTCTTACATCAATTTCAACCGTACAAGTAAGACTTGAATAACACAGTCAAAGTTTTAAGCCCAAAATAGTTACTTTTTTTTTTTATCATAAAGACAACTTCCATTATAATAAAGGGGTGTTATATCTACACACTCATTTTTACTTCTCGCGCACCTCTTATTAATTTATGTCTTAATCTTCTTCAATTCATTTGATCTGATAGTTGGAAATTAAGAGAGTGTGTGATAAATAAAAATAGTGTGTGGATAACTACAAAGAAAGTAAAAGGCCCAAAAAGAATCGGGTAAACAACTACAGAGAAAATAAAAGGCCCAGGCAAAATGAAAGCAGCAACCCACAATACAACGAGAGGTCCACTATGACAACCCGTCCCGGGATTTACGGAACAAAAAGGGTTTTGTAATTTCCTTAAGTTAGGGATACTTTTCTTTAAAAATTGTTTTTGGATCTTAATGTGTGTGCCCGTGGGACCAAATTGTTTTGGTGTTGTTTCCCTCTGGGCCCACTCATTCATCTCTCTTGGTCTTTCTCTCGGTCTCACTCTTTCTCTCACTCACTTTCCCTCAGCTTTTTCTCTCTCCCTCATGCTCTCTCTCAGATTCCCTGTTCCCCGAGGACTAGTACACACCCACATACACCACACCTTATCTGGCACGCCCCGATCTAGACCTCATGGTTTTGTTTCTGAGAACTCACATAAGAACTTCCCAGTGGGTCACCCATCCTAGGAATACTCTCGCACGAACTTACTTAACTTCAGAGTTTCGATGGAACCCGAAGCCAGTGAGCTCCCAAAAAGCCTCGTCCTAGGTAGAGATGGGAAATTCTCATGTGAGCTTCCAGAAACAAAATCGTGAGGGCGTGGTTGGAGCCCAAAGTGGACAATATCGTGCTACGGTGGAGTCGAGCCCAGGATGTGGTGGGGGCCTGGGCCGATATGTGAAAATATGGTATCAGAGCCAATCCTTGGTCGGAAGTGTGTCGACGACGATGTCGGGCCCTTAAATAAGTGGATTGTAACATCCCACATCGCCTATGGGAGTGGATCCTGTAAGCCTTATATGTATATTCCCATCACTATCTAGCACAAGGCTTTTTGGGAACTCACTGGCTTCGGGTTCCATCGGAACTCCGAAGTTAAGCGAGTTCGTGCAAGAGCAATCTCATGATGGGTGACTTACTGGGAAGTTCCCATTTAAGTTCCCAGAAACAAAACCGTGAGGTCGGGATCGGGATGTGTCACACGGCAGAGTGACTCTGATACCAATCTGACACACCCCGATCTCAACCTCACTGTTTTGATTTTGGGAACTTACACGTGAACTTCCCAGTGGGTCAGCCATCCTAGGAATTCTCTCGCGCGAACTCGCTTAACTTCGTAGTTTCGATGGGACCCGAAACCAGTAAACTCCTAAAAGGCCTCGTGCTAGGTAGAGATGGGATATACATATAAGGCTTACAAGATCCTCACCCTTGGGTGATGTGGGATCTTACATTATCGGAGCACCCCGACACACTCACCACCACCACTATCATGTAGACCTTCCCTTTCCATCGTCCATGTGAAGCACTCGGACACACACAACACACTCAGGTCAGGCGAGCTCGTGGCTTGCAAGCCAAAATCCGGCCACCCCATGACTAATCGAAGGTACTAGATCTCTTCCCCTCATCCTAAAGTCCATTTTGGTATTTAGATCATAAGTTTAGGTGTGGTTTGGCTGGCGACCGGAGCACGGGAGGCTCTGGCTTTTTTCCCTAGTGAGAAATGGGTCAGTAACCCAAGTCCAGTGAACCCAAGGCCTCAGACCCATTAAGCCCAACCCACATGAGTTTGAGGTTGGAGTCGTCTTTTAGTATGAGTTGATGAAGGTTATAATGTAAGTGGTCAGCGGTTTGGGTCCCCAATCACTATCTTCACGCAGAAATGAATAGTCACCTTTTATTATTTTGCTACAATTCATAAACATCATATCGTACTATGGTAAATATTTTCCAACGATATGATGCCTATGAATTGTAGCAAGATGATGAGATGTGTTCGCCTCAACGCATCTTTCCACTGCTTCACTCTAAGACTTTATTGTTTGTGAGTACGTGGATGTCAAAACACTTTTAGCAGATATGATTAGTACCCTCTGGAATGGTACCATAGCACAGTCAAGATGAGAATCAGATGATTTTTGTACACTTTCACATTATGGAACAAAATGGTATTCGAAAGATCGAATTTACATTAGGGAAAATTGTGCATCTTTGGGAAAATTACTGCTTGCTTATCGAGATAACAAATGTGTGGTCGATACGCGGGCGGCCAACTGCTATATCGATAACTTATTTGTTGGGTTCATTAAGTAAGTGGGCAGGAAAACCCATCTACAGCAGTTGTTACGGATTAGCTTTCGTTGAGGCTTGACCCAAAGACACACTTGTTCTCGTAGTACATGACGTTACATATGCTTAGGCGAGACCCATTTTCATTTTTGGTTTTGGATTTTTCAGTTCAAGTATTTTAAATTCCTTATTTTAGTTATATATTTGTATCTTCTCGAAGTTACAAATGTTTGGACGAGTCATTTCCACTTTTAGTGTTAATTTCAATACGAAGTTTTTAACCTCTACGTTATTACATATCTATTTTGAAGTTATCATATTTTACGTACATATTTTTGACCCTACGTCAATGTATGTGTTTCCGACTTTATATCTTTATAAAGTATGTTTTCTACTTTTACACTGATAAGGGAATAAGGTACGAGCCTAGAGGCACGAAAGATGGAATCATTGCAACCCAATTGCGACACGGCGGCATTTTCCCTTTTGTGCAACTGTTCTGACTTGATTTCTTCGCTATATATATATTTATTTTTTTTTTCTTCTCCCTATTTTCGAGTATTTTAGTATAGGAATTTATTTCAAATTTCGGGACGAAATTTTATTTAACGGGGCAGATTTTAACAACCCATCCTCAGATTTATGCAACAAAAAGGGTTTTTTTTTGTAATTTCCTTAAGTTAGGGATACCTTTCTTTAAAAAAAAAAATTGGATCTTAATGTGTGTGCCCGTGGGACCCAATTGTTTTAAGGTTGTTTCCCCGGGGGCCCACTCCTTCATCTCTCTTGGTCTCTCTCTCGGTCTCACTCTTTCTCTCTCCCTCATGCTCTCTCTCAGATTCTCTCTTCCCCGAGGACCAGTACACACCATATACACCACACCTCAACGGAGCACCCCGACACACTCACCACCACCAACATCATCTAGACCTTCCCTCTCCATTGTCCCTGTGAAACACTAGGACACCCATAACACACCCAGGTCCGGCGAGCTCGTGGCTTGCAAGCTGAAATCCAGCCACCCCATGACTAATCGAAGGTACTAGATCTCTTGCCCTCATCCTAAAGTTCATTTTGATATCTAGATCATAAGCTTAGGTGTGGTTTGGCCGGCGACCGGAGCACGGGAGGCTTCCCGGTGAGAAATGGGTCAGTGACCTAAGTCCAGTGAACCCAGGCCCTTTAGGCCGTTTAGAACCTAGGGCCTTGAGCTCGTTAAGCCCAACCCACCTATTTTATTCATTTATGTTTATTTAATTTATTTTCTAAAACCCAAATGGCTGCTAGGCGTGGCCTTAAGCCTAAGGCCCGTTAGGACGAAACCCAAAACCCTTAGAGGCTTAGGCCTTAGGACTGTTTAGGAGTACGCCTTTGGGCCTTTGCATTTGAGCCCAAACCCCATGGCCTCCAGCCCGTTAACCCCTTGAAGCCCAGAGACCCCAAACCTAGTAACCCTAAACCCTAAGCTCTTGGGCCATTCCACTTGGGCTTCTGGCCTGATAGCTTTAAACCCAAACCCATTTTTGGACCTAACCCAAGCCCAACCCGGTTGACCCGGACCCGTAGACTTTGACTTGACCCGGTCAACGGTCAACATTGACTTTTTGACTATTTTTTTTCGGGTTTTCGTACGGGACCCTTCTTAGGGTAATTCGACGTCCATTTTCCCAAATTCAATAGTTTTGATAGAGTTTTATTAATTGGACCCTTTATGTGCTTAGGGGCAATTATTTGTGGCATTTCCGTATTCACTAGTTTGCGTGGCTCTTCGAGGATGAAGCATCTGTAAGTGGAGCCCTTCTAAAATGTATGTTTTAATAGTAGAAATACATACATGAAAAGCATGATTTAATAATTACATTTTAAGGAAACGTTTTATGAGATATTATGCTTACTGAGAATATTTTGAATTACCTTATTTTATCGAACCCATGTTCTTTGTAGTATAGATTATGGATGACTATATACTGCTTATGAACATGCTTTTGCACACTTTTTTATAGTATAGATGATGGATGACTTTATACTATGAAGATGTTTTTGAGAGAGAGAGAGAGAGAGAGAGAGAGAGAGAGAGAGAGAGAGAGAGAGAGAGAGAGAGAGATATATATATATATATAAACACACACTTATGCTGGAAAGATTATATTCAATGTTTTTGTGCGTATCTAGTGGTCACTGTTATGCATGCGGGCGATGATACTTATATTGGCTTTGGTCGGGCGTAGGTTGGTGCCTAAGGGCGATGATACTTATATTGGCATCGGCTGCGTAGGTAAGTGGCTTTGGCCGGAAGATACTTATATTGGCTTCGATTGGGCGTAGGTTGGTGGCTTCGGCTGTATGACACTAGTATATAATACCACTATTTAGCATATTTTACGATATATGTTTTATGAAAAGTTTTATGGCATGTTAGGGTTTTCGAAAAAACCTATTACATATTTTACTATTGAATTTCCATTAAACTTTGGGGGTTAGTATGTTGATTAACTGGTTCAATATTATATATATATATATTATATATATATATATATATATATATATCAATTTGGTCCACTAATGTTTGTTTTGTGCCCCCTCAGGATTTAGATTTGAGGTGTACGATCCCGGCATCAAGACACTCCCGCATCGGCATCTTCGAGTCCTCTCGATGTAGGACCCATTCATTTGCTCATTCAATTATATATTATTTCCTTTCTAGTGTTAGGTTGTAGTTGTATGCTCTGAACACGTTCCTCATTTGCATAATCATTGTATTTTAATTCATAACTTTTATTTATATTCGTTGTTATCATGCATTTTAATATGGCTTTGTCACCTTCGAGTGTTAGCCAGCACATGCCTACCCTAGTGTTTGGAGAATATCAGGGTCAGGCATGTCACCCACACAAGCTTAGACTCAAAGGCTGTAAAAAGCAAACAATAAAAAACCCCTGCAAATATATACAAACAAAGTAGCATATGGGTAGAGAGTGAGGCTATACAAGGTATGTAAAATACCCAACACTCCGCATCAATTGGTCGCACTGAAAACCTTCCAACCTTGGGAGGCAAGATACAAAAGTGCTCAAGGCTTGGTACACAAAGAATGGGAACAATGCGTGTTGCAACAGGGATATCAAATCAAGCAATATTATGCTGGATTCAAATTTCAACAGCAAACTTGGGGATTTCGAGTTAGCTCAACTTGTGGATCATGGAAAACAATCACAAACCATGCTTCTGACTGGAACCATGGGATACATATCTCTGGAATGCATTACCACAGGAAAGGCGAGCAAAGAAACAGATGTTTACAACTTCGGGGTCGTTGGTTTAGAGATAGCTTGTCGGAGAAAACCCATTGATCCATAGTTGGGAAAGACTCAAATTAACATGGTGGAGTGACTTTGGTAGCTTTATGTTGGAAAAAATTGGGTCTAATTGCTATATTAAATCACATGAAAAATCAAGAAATAATTCATGCAATTATATATCAAAGTAATGCACACACATGAGTAACCAATATAAACGAACATGACATAATAGATTAGAAAATTTTGGAAATACGGTCGAGGAAAGTGTTAGACACTCTGTCTTTAAGACAAGTTTACGCCCCACTACAGTGCTCATGGTTGATCGGCTCATGTCTTCCAAAATACAACGACCACGTCCTTGTAATAGTAGTACTCCAAATCACAAGGCTCCATGAACCACGATTGTATTGAAAACTCTCTCATATGAACTCAATGAGACTGAAATGTTATTTTGTGATTATAGGGGGCTTCCCTATTTATAAAATGTGAGATGCCTCTTTGAAAGCATGTGACTATCAAAAGTTGCAATATTTCAACTAAGTAGGCATATCTTTCTACCAAAAGGCTCAACTTCCAATTTTCATTCAATTAATAAATTTAATATAATAATATTATTATTAAATTTTCCAACACTTTACGCTTGTAGGTTTTCACTTAGAAGAAATGTCAACATGTACAGAAAAAGAGTAGCAAAATTTGTACCTTTTGTATTCGGAGAGCTTTGTTGTCTCATGAACTTTCAATCATTGATCTTTCATTTTTCAATTAAAGCTTAAGCTCATATCGAAATTTATCGAAATAACAAATTGATCAAGATTCAAGACCTGCATTGAAAGAAAATGATCAAACAAACAAATTAAAAACAAAATTGAAATAAAACGAAAGAGATAATGAGTTTTGCGCAAAATACCAGAAATCGTGATAGGCACCAGTTTTAAAATCTGGAAGTTCCCCGAATGTAGAGTGATGACTGATGAGAATGACGCAACCTATAATAACTGAAATAAGGAAAGATGAAGTTTCTAGTATTTAACTTGCTTTTCCGTTTATTACTTCAATCTAATGCCTAGAAAGAAAGAGGGGATTAAGTATCACTTGACATAATCATGGAGAAGAAGTGCAGAAAGAAGAGCTCTTTCAGATTTCACGCCTAGAATCTCCCCTAGTGCTTGTTTCTTGCAATGCAAGCAACCTGCTTCACAAAACGGATGAACTGGTTTTACTATTTGTTGGCTGAGACTAAATAGAAGCAATTTAAATGGATTAACATGTCGTGTCCCATATGTTTGATGAACGTAACAATGGGTTGACTAGATCAACTACATTGAAAAAATGTCCTACATATTAGAGACACAAGTTCCTTCCCCAAGATTGGAGCTCTACTTGAGGATACTACTCATGTCTAGTCACAACCATCAAAATGAATTTGGACTCAAAGGCCCTGTTTGGTGGGTAAGATTGGATGGGTTTTTTTTCCAATTAAATTGGATTTGTAACCCAGTCAATGTTTGGTGAGAAAAATTGTAACATGGACTGAATTGGCTACACATCTTAAATAGGAAAAATATTATGGGTTATGTAACCTAACCACACATTCATAGCACATTTGTGAGTGCTAGTAAAAAGTGCAAGAGAACACGAATTTCACCAAAAATAACCACAAACCTTACTAGAAAGTAACCATACAATATCATCGGAGGAAGAAAAGTAATGTGAAACTTGTAGGAAATCTCCTACGAATTTGGCCATACCAAACATTTAGTTTATTGTTCTGATTTTTCAGCAAACCTACCGGCAATTAAATTTTTTTAGCATTTTACTGCTTAAGTATTTATATAAATTCTCTTTCGTGTGTGAAGGGGTCAAGTACTCCACTTCTATAATTCAATTCTTTTACCCATTCAAATGGCTATGACCAAAACAAACTAAAAAAAACATACAAATAAAACAAAAATAAAAAGACATAATTCAAGACCTTTGATAGAGAAAAATAATAGAAAGAAATGTACTCATGACTAGGACTAATTTATAGGACACGGTTACACTGTCACTGCATATAACTAAGAATTTACATAAATTTTTGAACCATTAGCATAAAACGCCATGGTAACTGTGTACGCATGTATGTAAGTCTTTCATGAGAAAATCAGTGGAAGAACCCTTCTCGAAGATCTGATTTCTAACCATTTCCAAGACGTTTCTTCTTTTTATTTTTGGTCAAATCCTAGATTTCTATGTCAATGCATATCGGACCAAAAATATTTACTTCACCTGCCACACACTACATGAGTCATTCTTTAATTTTAAAAAGAAATTTCAGACCGGCGCCGTGGTCTAGCATAGTCACTCTCTACTCTTTTTTTTTTTTTTTTTTTTTTTATCAATCGATATTATCTACACTAAGAAAAAGGAGGTGAGTTTAACCTCACAATAAAATAACATTCATGTGGTTATTTGACGAGAATTATTTAAATATTTACTAGAGCAATTGGCCTGCAACAAAACATAATATTTTATTATAATACGAGTGCAAATTCCCATAGAATAAATACAGTCATTGTTCATTATTTAAATATTTTAATTCATAAAATAATATTTTATTAAATTAGTGGAATCCATTTAGGTATCACATTAGCATTTAACTGAATTTTTTTACAGAATTGTGACAAAATGATCACAATGATTTGTGACACCTATTTTCAAAGACTACATTGATCGATTTTCAATTTCAGAGACCATCCTGATAGGATGAGTCATGGACCATTTGTGATAAAAACCCAAACATAATTAAATACCATTTCAAACCAAAATATGGATAAAAGTATACATAAACAAATACAATGTCAAACAATACATCAAGCTCAATTGCTAGTTTGTTTCCCAGCACTTTATAGAGTGTGGACTAAGACTCAGGTCGTCGATGAATTTGTTTCGATTTGAATTGGTATACAGTATGGTGCGTCTACCGAACAATTACTCTGCAGATGTGTTCTTCAGTATATAAGTGTTATAATTAGATGATAATTCTGGAAAAAAACCACTACAAAATGTTAGATATGGATAACTCCGGGAATGTGTTCTTATATCTCCTGCTCTTCTTTATGTTCTACCCTTTTGCAACTGCTTTAACCTTCAACTTCCCAAGCTTTCCCAATGGCACGACCAACATATCCCTTGAGGGAGAAGCATATATTGATACCCAACTCATCAGACTCACTAGAAGCCCTGGAGAAACTGGGAACGTCGGTCGAGCAACTTACCGTGAGCCAAGGAAAATGCCACTGGAAAACTCGCAGACTTTACCACAAATTTCACATTCATAATCGATTCAGGGAGTGCTGATGGGATGGTATTCTTTGTAGCGTCAAACGGATCCTTACTCAACAGTGCAGCAGGAAATGGTGCTAAGCTCGGCCTTCCTGTCGAAGACCTCTCAGGAGACATCTCGAAGGCTCAGTATCCGTTTGTGGCAGTGGAGTTTGATATCTTCAAGAATACGCCACCAACCATCAGGGATCCCGATGGTGATCATGTCGATATCGACATCAACTTTCTCAAGTCTAATCTTACCGCACCTTGGAATGGTGGTATTGAGGAAGGAAAACGAAATAGTGCTCGGATTACAACTCCAGCTCAAAAAATCTATTGAATTTTGTGAATGGTATATTCATCATAAGACAATCAGGTACAAGAAATAGTAAATATATATGTGCTAGAGGGAAAAAAACAAGACTACCTATCCCTCCTTGATTTACGTCTAACAAAAAAGAACAAATAAGACACATCCCAAGGGAATTGACAACAAGACAAATAAGACACATCCCTTGAATTAAGGGAATTGATAACAAGAGACACATCCCTTGAATTAAGAGAATTGACAACACTATCTATCACCCTAAAATCCTTTGTACGGTGAACATGCAACCTAACCTAACCCTTATTGAATTTTGTGAATGGTATATTCATCATAAGACAATCAGGTACAAGAGATAGCAAATATATATGTGCTAGAGGGGAAAAAAACAAGACTACCTATCCCTCCTTGATTTACGTCTAAAGCTAACAAAAAAGAACAAATAAGACACATCCCTTGAATTAAGGGAATTGACAACAAGACAAATAAGACACATCCCTTGAATCAAGGGAATTGACAACATTATCTATCACCCTAAAATCCTTTGTACGGTGAACATGCAAACCTAACCCTAGTTGCCATTCTTTCTTCCAATACTCCCCCTCAAGCTGAATCAAAGGGATTAATTGATCCAAGCTTGAACAAAACACACTGAAAATTAGCAGAGGTTAATCTTTTTGTGAAAATATCCGCAAGTTGACCATGACTGCGCGTGTAGTGAGTATCAATCACCTTGGACTGAACTTGATTTCTGACGTAGTGACAATTAACTTCAATATGTTTAGTTCGCTCATGGAATACAGGATTCGATGCAATGTGCATCGCGGCCTGATTATCACAACGTAGGGACATGGGTTGTAGATGAGGAAAACCTAAAGCCAACAGAAGACTTTTGAGCCAAATAAGTTCACAAGCAGTCGACGCCATAGCACGATACTCTGCCTCTGCACTAGAGCGTGCAACAACACTTTGTTTCTTGCTTTTCCAGGTAACTAGGTTGCCTCCCACAAACGTACAAAACCCAGTGGTAAACTTGCGATCGAGAGAATTGTTTGCCCAATTAGCATTGGTATAGCCTGAGATCTAAGTGTGACTATTGTTGCGCATAAGAATTCCTCTACCAATGGAACCCTTAAGATAATGTAGCACACGATAAACAATCTTCAAATGATCCATGCTTGGATAGTGCATAAATTGGCTAACAATGCTAACGGCATATGATATATCAGGACGTGTGATAGTCAGATAAATGAGTTTGCCAACCATTCTTTGATAGTAACTTAAATTGGGAATTGGATCACCGTGAGTTTTTAGCTTCAAGTTTCTATCCAAGGGGGTACAAGCAGGCTTGCAATCTGTCATTTTTGCTTCATGAAGAAGATCCATGAGATACTTGCGTTGGTTGAGGAAGAAACCCTTGTGAGAGTGTGCCATCTCGATGCCCAGAAAGTATTTGAGAGTGCCAAGATCCTTGATAGCAAACTTGTTGTTAAGATACTGTTTAAGAGCATTAATCTCTGACATATTATCACCTGTCACAATTAGATCATCAACATAAATAAGCACAACTAGTTTACCCACTAAGTTGGAACGAACAAATAGAGAAGAATATGCAATACTTCGACAAAAACCAACCCTTTCCAGAACATGACTGAGCTTGGCATACCATGCACGTGGACTTTGCTTGAGACCATAAATGGATTTATGGAGTTTGCACACCATTTCTGGATTGTTTGATTGAGGATGACCTGGGGGTAACTTCATGTAAACCTCTTCTTCAAGTTCACCATGCAGGAAAGCATTTTTAACATCCATTTGAAAGAAAGGCCATGCATTGTTAATTGCAACTGACAACAATACTCAAACAGTGTTCATTTTTGCCACCGGAGCAAATGTCTCTTTATAATCGACGCCATAGGTTTGTGTAAAACCTCGAGCAACCAAGCGAGCCTTATTCCTTTCGATTGTGCCATCTGAATGAAACTTAGTTTTGTACACCCAACGACTCCCCACTGCCTTATTTCCTTTTGGAAGTTTCACTATAGTCCATGTGTTATTTTCATGGAAGGCTTGAAGCTCCTCTACCATAGCATTTCTCCACTCACTGTGAAGATTGGCTTCTTGAAAACTTTGAGGTTCTCGAGCTTCATTAATGGCACTTAGGAATGTAGCAAAAGAAGATGAGACTTTGCTATAGTCAATAACATCAGTCACGGGGTACCTGGCAGTGTAGGTCACATAATCATGCAACTTGGATGGAAGTTTCCTCTCTCGTGCAGGATTGTGACGAACTATAGGAGATTGAACTACAGGTATTTGAACAACATCATGGTTGGAAGGATCACTAGAAGGTGCAGTGTGAATCTCCGATGAGGAAGGGGTTTCATCTTCAAGATGTTCCACCGAGTGAAGATTAACATCATCGGCACATGATCACTAGGAATGCATGTTGCATCTTCTCCGTTTGGATATGGAAAAGGAAATAAGTCCATCAAATGCTCCCCATGTCTAGAGTAATCCAGTGATTGTGAGAAGTAAGGAACATATTCTTCAAATTTAACATCCCTTGAAACAACCATTTTTCTAGTTGTTGAATTATAGCACTTGTAACCTTTTTGGGTAGATGAATAACATAGAAAGACACATTTGGCAGCCCTTGGGTCTAGCTTGTCACGATTTTGAGCTTGAATGTGAACAAAGCATGTACACCCAAAGACTCTCAAATGGGAAAAGTTGATCTTTCTATTTTATAAGGTGATTTAAAATTCAACACTTTACTAGGCAATCTATTGATGAGACATGCCGCAGTAAGAACTCCTTGAGACCAAAACTTCTTAGGCACATTCATGTGAAACATAAGAGCTCTAGTCTTCTCAAGTAGATCTCTATTCTTCCTCTCGGCCACCCCATTTTGTTGCGGTGTTCCAACACAGCTTGTTTGGTGTAATATACCATGCGTGCTCAAGTAGTGTGACATGTTATGAGACATATATTCTGTGCCGTTATCTGATCATAAAATATGAATTTTTGAAGCAAATTGGGTGGCCACAAATCTATGAAAATCTTGAAAAACTTCCATCACTTCACTTTTAAATTTCAAAAGATACAACCAAGTAATCCTTGTGAAATCATCCACAAAAGTTACAAAATATTTGTATCCATCAAAAGACTCTAGAATTGGTCCCCAAACATCGGAATGCACGATTTCAAAAGGATTACTAGCCCTAGACAAAGAGGAAGTAAATGGTAATCTAGTAAACTTAGAAAAGTGACAAACATCACAAGGACTTGTAACTTTGCACATGTTTGGGAACAAGGTGGATAGAACTTTTTCAGAATGATGTGCTAGACGTTGGTGCCAAAGTTGTTGTTCTTGAGCTAAGCTTGAAGTGACTTGAAAAACCTTGGGAACTTGAATATGCTTGAAAAGATAGTAGAGACCATTTAAGAAAAATCCTTCACCAATCGTCTTTTTGGTGACTACATCCTGAAAGATCACATTTTTGAGAGAAAATGGCAAGACAATTTAATGAGTTTGTGATCTTGCCAACAGATAAAAGTTGAAAAGGGAATGAGGGAACATAAAGAGTCTCAGACTCGACATCACTTGATCAGTGGCTCCAGAATTTATAATCCAATAATCATGCACATTACCAATGTTGAGAGCAGTTGAGAAGGAATGTAAGATACCTGGGATGTCCCTTTGTACCGCACCACGCCTTCATTTCCAGCCAGGAAGCCAGCAAACTGTCCTAGTAGTGCAGTTTGATTGTTGTCACACTGATTTAGTGGTCCTTCACTATCTCCAAGACCTTGTTTCTTGTGAAGAAACATAGCAAACTCATTGATCAGTGCAGCTGGATTAGTGGTGAACTTCAGTGCTCCCTCAGAAGAAGTTGTGGCAACATGATTTGCCTTGTAAGAAGGGTTGTATGAGCCTTTCGAGACACCTTTGTTATCCCTAGGAAACTTTGGTTTTAACTCTAGATGAAGAATCCAAGAGCATCACAATGGCTACATTTTAAGCCAGTTTTCTTTCCTTTATAGCCTCTCTCCTCACCAGGTTTTTTGTTAGAGAAGTAAGCCTTAGCTTCTGGTATATTTGCCTTTATGTCCAAGGTCATGACTTTCCTTCGAACCTCTTCTCTTTGAATTGTGGCACACATACTTGAAAAAGAAGGCATGTCAGGATTCATGAGGATATAGCTTCGAAGATCTTCGAATTCAGGGCTCAGGCTTGCTAAGAGTTGGAATATTTTGTCTTCCTCGGCTCTCTTAGTTAGCACAGCAGCGTCGATAGTGTATGGTCGATACACATTCAGCTCATTCCACATAGTGGTCAACTTTCCAAGATGTTGCACAAATGGCTTCCCTTCTTGTTGCAAACCAGCAATGTCCTTCTTTAACTGAAACACACAAGCCGCATTGTTCTGATTTCCATACATTTCCTTGAGATTTTTCCAAAGAGTCATAGAGGATTCAGCATAGCTAAAAATTTCTGCAATCTTACGATCCATGGAATTGAGTAGCCATGACATGACCAACTGGTCTTTGCATAGCTAAGCATCATACTCCGGTGACGTAGTCTCAGGCATTGGAATAGCACCATTAACATAACCAAGCTTTGATCGTCCTCCCAGAGCAAAAGAAACTGCTCTCTCCCATGGAAGATAGTTAAACTCATTTAGCAAGACAGAACTAAGACGTTGATTTGGGTTGATATTAATATCTGAGTGTGGTGATGGTGGAGCAGCATGAAAGCTGTCTCATTCCAAATTTACTGAGCTTTCTTCAACCATGATTGAAGGACAAGAAGAAGCTCACAAATCTCTCAAGAGAACACCAAAGAGACAGGCCGGTTAGGGTCACTGCTCTGATACCATATTGAATTTTGTGAGTGGTATATTCATCATAAGACAATCAGGTACAAGAGATAGCAAATATATATGTGCTAGAGGGAACAAAACAAGACTACCTATCCCTCCTTGATTTATGTCTAAAGCTAACAAAAAAAA